TGCGCCTTATGGTCGTGAAAATACGGTAATTCCTGTAAATGTTTAGAGATTTGTTTCTTTAAAAGCACCATTGAAAGTAAAATTCTTTATTATAATATAATATATATATATAATATATAATACAGTGTAAATATGTTTAATATCAGGTTTAAAAACTGCCTTTTTGAATTCTTTAACCCATTTCTCTCTCATCCATCCATCATTTTAAACAGTTTCTTTTTTTTTTTTTTTATCTTCTTACCTTAGACCTTCTTTTTAGCCTCTTAACTTCTCATCATAATGTTTTATCTTATCTTTAACATTTTTGATTTTTGCAACATTAAAAGAACCTTATTTTCTTTGCAATTGATCAAAAATTTCTCCTTGGGCAGTTGACAATTCCCTGGAACCTTGCCTTTGTTCTACTTCACTAGAACTGCAAAACCTTTCACATTATCTACAGGTAATTTACTGGTTTCCAATATGCACACCATTCCTCTGGTGCCGACCTGGATAACTGGGGGGGATCCCACTCTAGATTACCGACGTCTCAGTAAAATGAAGTACCTTCTGGTGGCACCTACAACCTTCCTCTCACCCTTAGAGAGAGCCTCACGTTCCTATGCGAGGTCTTTTGGTTCACAGGTGGAACAAAAACAGAATTGCCTTTTGTGTCCCCAAGAGAAAAGTTATCTTTTATTTTCTATGTATATTGCTTAGTATTATACTAATTTTAGTGCATTAAAAAGATTATCCTATTAATCTTTATTTTATCTAGTTTCTTATTGTTTTGGTTTGTTTTTTTGTTAGATTACATTTAAAAAGAGGACTTTGTTTCAGCTAATTTTCCAGTATTTGATCTCTAGTAATCTTTAAATCTGTAAACAATCTGTTGTTTTGTAATTTAGTTTTTGAAATTTAATTTAAACTGAGCCGACAAAAGATTAATCTCACCGTCTCAAAAAAATGGTTGGTTTTGATCCTCCTGCTGACCTCCAGGGACCTCGATGCCAGAAGTCCTCAGTCCCTTAACCTTCTAACGGGGTATTGAGGCTGGAAGACTGCTTCCTCCAGGTGGTTCCTGACACTTCTGACAATCGCTGTCCTCAGAAAAAATCAGTCAAAGAGAATCGTGCATTGACAACGCCAAATTGTCGTGGAAAAAAATATTCAACTAATCATCCTAGTTAAATAAACGGAGATCGATGGATTTCACTCAGTCGGCACATTTATTAATATCTTTGCAAAGAGAGAACAGTTCATCATACAGCCCTTATGGCATAGCATTCTGCTCTGTTCTGCATGAGCAGCGTTCGTCCCCCTTTACTTACAACAATGGGAACTAGGGGTGTAAATAATAATCATTTTGTACCGATGCATCGACACGTCCGCAAGATAATCGATTCATGTTTTTTTTTCCTCCGGTCTATTTTTATCCATTTGATCCTGGGCGTAATTCTCCTCCCGTGCTGCGGTGGCGCTAAACCTATTTTGCCCTCGTACCTCGCTTCCTGGTTATACTCTTACAGCAGTGTGTTGCAGTGAGCTTGATGCAGACATTTTTAAATTATGCTCAATAATGAAGCGTGGTCTGTGCTACACGCTGTGGGTCTAGATACGGCCGAGGCGGCGAGGAAGTGGGGGCGAGTTTAGTCCGACGACGGAGGGACATGAGGGCCAAAAAGAGCGGAGATCCAGCTGGAAAAAGGCTCCCAGCGTTCTCGCGCACCTCGCTCTTCTAGCGGGTCAAACTTCATGAGTTGTTTTCCGCAATTTCGGTCATAAAAACAAAACAAGCCGGCCTCCTGTCTGCGGCACTGTCTGCGGTCAGTTACAATCTGGGAGAGGAGCAGCGGAGCGTCTCTCAAGGGGGCGGTGACGTCGGCACTCTGGAGTCTTCTTCTTCTTTTTTTTAATGGCGGTTGGCAGACAACTTATAGGTGCATTACCGCCACCTTCCAGAATGGAGTATGGACCAAACAAACTATTATATTCTCCCTAAAATACCCGTTGTTCTTAGAAAATTAAAAATACCACCAAAAACTACATCCCCAGATGACCTTTGAAACAATTCCCTTATATCTAGTTTATTTTTATTCCTGTCTAACTCTCTACGCAACATCTCTCTTTCCTGAGTATATTTATTACATTCTAAAAAAATATGTTGGACAGTTTCTCTGGAGCCGAGGTATTGCATTGAACTCATTACAGTGATATTGTGCAGTATTTTTGCAGTATTTTTTGATGCAACTTTTCTACTTCTGTTATTTGCTGTTGTTTCTAAAGAAAATGCATAACGATATTACAGCTTTCATTTATTTATTTCAAACTTGAAACTTTGTTTAGCCTGTAAGGTGTTAAAAAAAATAATAATAATCGAAAGGTTAGGTCAGGAAATCGATACTGAATCGAATCGCCATGATGGATGTGATTTACACCCCTAATGGAACGTAGTCAGACGCTTTGGTTAAACAGTAACATGTTATGAATAAACCTTGAGAAAGAATCTGGTATGTTATGGGAAGAAGCTATGTCTGGTCTACAAACACCATCCTGCAGAGAATGGTGCGGCCTTGAGAGAGAAACGGCCTGAGTGAAAACTTTTATAGTGAGTAAATAGAATAAGTTAAAATATAATAAGAGAGAAATCTAAACTTTCCAATTATATTAGGGCTGCAACAACGAATCAATAAAATCGATAAAAATCGACTTTTAAAAGCGTTGGCAATGAATTTAATCATCGAATGGTTGTGTCGCGCGATTAATGCGTCATCCGCCGCCGCCGTCATCACATCCACTTGACTGAAATGGGGGAAGAAAAAAAATACAGCAGAGCGATTCAGTGCCGCAGGTGCAGTGTTGCCAACTCAGCGACTTTTCAGACCCCTCCAGCGACTATTTTTCAAAAAAGCGACTAGCGACAAATCTGGTGACTTTTTACGTTGTCACTGGCGGCTTTTGGAGACTTTTACGTTAAAGCATGTATCGTTCCTACTCTGCTGTGAGGCGCCTCCCCCACCCCAACCCTGTTCTCCCGCAGGAGTCCCTCTCAGCGCTGCAGTCAGAGCCGCAGGATGTTTCAGCGTCCAGACGTAAAGAAGATCCTGCAATTTATGGAAGTAAAGCAGAATAAAATCCAGCAAGATCAGTAATATGTCAATTAGGGCTGGGCGATAATTCAATAACGATATATATCGATCGATAGACGTGTGGCGCAATAGAAAAAAAGAGGGTCGATAAAAAAGAAACGCAGTTTTCCTTCCTTCTCATTGTAGCCTAGCATGTAGCTTTATGCTAGTCACTGCTTCCTCCCAACCAATCACAATCGCGGACCCAGGCATGCCGTCACAAAGCGCCGCCCTCTCAAACCACAACACAGAGCACATGAAGACGTCGCAGCAAGGAGAGGCGGAGGAAATTGTTTCAAAAAAGGGTTTTTGTAGTTCGGCAGTCTGGCAGTATTTCGGTCCTGGCAAGTCGGACCAAAAACAAACCACAGTCATCTGTAAAATGTGTCAGGAACCAGTGAAAACCAGTCTGATAACACAACCAACTTTTTTTTTTTTTTTTATCATCTCAGCCGCTCCCACCCGCAGGAGTACGAGCTGTGTAGGCCATGACGCGGCTCTCCTCCGAAGAATCTTCGGGAAATATATATATATTTTCAGTTCTGGGCAGTTTCCCACGTAGTTCTAACAATTGAGATAAAAATGCTGAGGGGCCAGAAACTTCAAAGTAATAACTCAGGTTAAAGCAGGAAACGGGGGCGGCGGTGGGGGGGGCATTTATTTATTTGTTATATTTATTTTGGTCACTTTTCTGGTCACTTTAGTTTATTCTTTGTCAGTATTTCATAACATAACTCAGGTCTCTTAAGTTATTTTTCTTTAAAACAATTCTGTTATGGTTAAAAAAGTTGGTTAAATAAAGATTTAATTCGAAGTCTGTGTTTGTGTTCTTTATTAAAATTAAATCATTTAGCAATATTATAAAAAGTCCAGGCAGAGCTGCACAAAAAAATTGTTTCAAATCTTTTCAATAATTATCGATATCAATCAATATGCATTTTTTTTTATCGATAAGCTTTTTTTCTATATCGCCCAGCCCTAATGTCAATGAATTATCTGCCACATTCCCATGTAAATATCTGTCTTTGGAGGATGTGTTTTTTTTAGCACCCCTAGTTCTCTCATTTTTATTCCAAATACAATTTATAATTTGAATCACAGGGCTATTTTTATCTCTATGGTTAAAAAATCCCCATCATCATCCAGCAGATGTTCAGTTTCTGCCCAAATATTTTCTTTCTGTGGATTTTTGTAACAGGAATAACTAGGATCAAACATAGTTTGTATGAACTCTGTTTGTTCTCTGCTTCCAAACTCATCATCTCTTCATCCATTCCTGCAATAAGAATTTTCTTTAAAAGTTGTGAGATTCGTTCCTCGGACCTACCCGCTCCAGCCGGTGAACAATACCTCCTTAACGACCAACCCTTAACAATCATAGACAGGTTTCAGGTATTACAGGAGACAACCCCCCCCCCCCCCCCCTTAATGGCAATCCCCCCTTTAACGACCGACCCCTAGCATCATAGACAGGTTCAGATATTACAGGCTAACGATGGAACTAACGACCCATTCATCTGTTACCATTGCATGTTTCCAAGCGATACAAGGCGTTGTCTATATAAGACTCAAACTCACTGCGGATCCAGACATTTGAATTGAGAAAGCTTCCTGGAGAGGTGGCGAAACGTCTTCAAATCTTGAAAACCAAGTCCAGTGGATATTTTTTGAATTTTTACGTGATAACATTGGGTTTGTTTACTGGGAGAATGAAAGTAAAAATAAGTTTAAACATAAAAGTTGAGGTTCAAACCTGTATGTCAGGGCTGAAGTGCCTGCTGGGAGATGTAGTTCCAGTCTGTTTATATGTAGTTGGATTATCAAAAGAATGATTAAACTGGAGTGTCCTTTATTTAACCACCAATAGAACCTCTCTGTTGTTTGTCTTTTCAGACCACCTGCAGGATTATTTTGGAAAAGAAGAGGGTTTCTCTGACCAGCAGCTATGTGGACAGGAGAGGAATTCCAGTTTGGACCAAGAGGAACCAGAACCTCTGCAGATCAATGAAGAGCAGCAAGAACCAGAACATCCCTGGACAAAAGAGAAAACCATGGAACTCCCCATAAGTGAGCAGGAAGAGACAGATACAGGAGGGAAACCTTTCTCATGTTTGACATGTGGAGAAAACTTTATAAAAAAACAACATTTAGTGGATCACATGAGAACTCACAAAGGTCAGAAGGCTTTTGAATGTCTGTCGTGTGGAAAAAGCTTCACTCAGAAATCCAGTCTTGTTTCACACATCAGAATTCACACAAACGAGAAGCCCTTTTCCTGTACCATTTGTAACAAGAGTTTTACCCACAAGAGTACTTTGAATTGTCACAAGAGAATTCACACTGGTGAGAAGCCTTTTGAATGTCTGTCCTGTGGAAAAAGCTTTATGTATAAATCTCATCTTTATAGTCACACCAGAATTCACACCGGTGAGAAAGCTTTTCCCTGTACCATTTGTAACAAGAATCTATCTGACAAGTGTAATTTGACTTCTCACATGAGTATTCATACAGGTGAGAAGCCTTTTCCATGTCTGTCCTGTGGAAAACGCTTTGCTCAGAAATCTACCCTTAAAACACACATGAGAATTCACATGGGTGAAAAGGCTTTTTCCTGCACCATTTGTCACAAGAATTTTACTGCAAAAAGTAGTTTGACTTCTCACATGAAAATTCACACAGGTGAGAAACCTTTTGAGTGTCTGTCCTGTGGAAAAAGCTTCACCTCAAAGTCTTATATTAACAAACACATAAGAATGCACACAGGTGAGAAGCCTTTCTCTTGTACAATTTGTAGCAAGAAGTTTACTGACAAAAGTACTTTTACTTGTCACATGAGAATTCATACAGGTGAGAAACCTTTTGAATGTCTGTCCTGTGGAAAACGCTACATTCAGAAATCTAGTCTTAATAAACACAGGAAAATTCACACAGGTGAGAAGCCTTTTGAATGTCTGTCCTGTGGAAAACGCTTCACTCAGAAATTTTGTCTTACTACTCACATGAAAAGTCACACAGGTGAGAAGCCTTTTTCCTGCACAATTTGTGGCAAAAGTTTTAATCTAAAAGGTAGTTTGACAGGACACATGAGAATTCACACAGGTGAGAAGCCTTTTAAATGTCTGTCTTGTGGAAAAAGCTTCACTAAAAAATCTAGTCTTAACACTCACATGAGAAAACACACAGGTGAGAAGCCTTTTTCCTGCACAATTTGTGGCAAAAGTTTTACTGTAAAAGGTCATTTGACAGTACACATGAGAAGTCACACAGGTGAGAAGCCTTTTGAATGTCTGTCTTGTGGAAAAAGCTTCACTAATAAATCTAGTCTTAACACTCACAGGAGAAGTCACACAGGTGAGAAGCCTTTTTCCTGTGCAATTTGTGGCAAAAGTTTTATTACCAGTAGTAGTTTGACATCACACATGAGAATTCACACAGGGGAGAAGCCTTTTGAATGTCTGTCCTGTGGAAAAAGCTTCCGTCAGAAATGTGATCTTAATACTCACATGAGAATTCATAAAGGTGAGAAGGCTTTTTCCTGTGGAATTTGTGGCAAAAGTTTTACTCGAAATAGTCTTTTGACAAGACACGTGAGAATTCACACAGGGGAGAAGCCTTTTGAATGTCTGTCCTGTGGAAAAAGCTTCCGTCAGAAATCTGGTCTTGATACTCACATGAGAATTCATACAGGTGATAAGGCTTTTTCCTGTGGAATTTGTGGCAAAAGTTTTATTACCAGTAGTAGTTTGACATCACACATGAGAATTCATACAGGTGAGAAGCCTTTTGAATGTCTGTCCTGTGGAAAAAGGTTCCCTCACAAATGTGTTCTTAATACTCACATGAGAATTCACACAGGTGAGAAGCCTTTTGAATGTGTTTCCTGTGGAAAAAGCTTCACTCAGAAATCTCATCTTGATGACCACATGAGAATTCACACAGGTGATAAACCTTTTTTCTGCACGATTTGCGGCAAACGCTTTACTAGAAAAAATAATTTGACTGTACACATGTACAGAATCCACACAGGTGAGAAGCCATCTCCTGAATGATTTGTCCCAAAGGTTTTAAGCGAGAAGGTAATTTGAGTATTCAGTTGACATTTATTAATGCATGATGTGGAAGGGTTTGTATTTTTTTTTAAATAATAGGGAAATCATATTTTAATGTCAAATCATTGTTGCTTAAGTATGTATGTAAATGTACTCTTTTATCATACGATATTGTCCAAAAGAAAATTTCTGTAAAAAAAAAAAAAAATCTGTCTTAAAATCTTTGGGGTTTTTTTTCGTTATCTTTCGCAGGCCAGTTAGTTATTTCTTCTTGTACACCTAAATTCGGCAAATCATACATCAACAGTCATCTGTCAGTCAAATTTTTTCAATCATCGCATCTTGATTCATATGTCGCAGCTAATATAGGTGAAGGTTAAAATAAGAAATAAAAATTATTTCCTTTACCATTGAGTTGCGTCCCAGTGTTCACGGGGATGGACGTCTGTGTCTTCAGCAGGCGTAGAGCTAACAGAACTGGCAGCGTTGCGAGGCAAGGGCTCAAACATGTACGGCTGGAAGCCTTCTACACCAAACCAAGCTTCTGCCGCCCTGGCGTCCTTTTCTACAACATCTTCGTCCCCGCTTTCCTCCTCTAAATAAAAAATGGATGACGGAGGAGACTCATCCACGACCTCCGACACTAAACTCTCCTCCTCTTGCATGTTTCCTCTGTCCATAGCGTTCCTTGACAGCGTCGTTTCTAAGTCACCAATTTAGTGCTACTTGGTCCCAATGGAATTTCCCATTGGGACCAAGTAGCACTAAGTTGCTAACTGGTTAGCAAAATGCTTCCAAACATCGGCACCAATTAAACTTGCTTGTGAACCTTCTGCCACAACGACCCGCCCTCTTGATAAACGACCAATTACATTCACTTTATTCACTCGTGTAAAGTCGTGCACTACTCGGGAGAATATGGAAGAATATATACGGTTAGAGCAGCCATTTCCCTACAACTTTAAAAACATTCGTGTCACTTAAGTTACAGCAGTTAGATGCCACAGGAATGAACATTACAGGTGTTTTCCATGTTTGACTGGTGGTAAAATGTCCATCTAGAAACTTCTTCACCTCATTACTTGAGAAACTCACAGGTTAATGGTCTTTTTGGAGAAAAGGAGCAAGTTTAGAATCCATACAACAAGCAATTGGGAAGAATGTTTAAATTGAAATAAAAAATCCAGATGGACACTGCAGTGGTCCATCTGGATTTGAACTTTTTCTGGATTAATTTACTCAGAAAAAAAACTAAATTTTATTTTTAAACATGAGAAATCTTAGCTGAATGATTGATTGCTATCAGTTGGATATATTCCAGAAACAGATTTTTATTCAGGTGAAAATATCCTCAGATGAAAATAAAAGCAAAGGTAGGACAGATTTAATGTGCTTTGCTCAGTTTCTTGATGTTTTTGGAGGATTTTTTAAAGGTCGCCTGCAAATGTTCAGAGTTTAGCTAATTCAGTGTCTTGTTGGCTTTCATTAGCAATGCATCAATCAGCCCTGCTACGTGTGTTGTTGAAACCAGGCCCACCAAAACTCCCACTGTTTTAGCCACAGTGTTAGAGCTATGGTCAATAGATATTAGAATGAAGTAGATCATCTATAGAGGAGTCTCAGGTGAAGATTTGGGACATATAGAAGTGTGTGTCAGTCTCAGAGTTAGTCAGCTACAAGCTAATTAATGTTGTAAAGTAGCTCCAGCCACCTTGAAAGGGGGTGCTGGGATTATGGGGTTAAACTACGGGACATCAAAGAACTCAGTTTAGAGGCTGGAGTCTGTAATTCAGGTAAATTGAAGTCCTAAAATGATGAAACATGTTTGTTTAAAAAGATAAACTAGATTGATGATGTTGCTGTTATTTTACTGATCAGTTTGAACCTGCTTTAACTCGGTAAAAAGCCTTTGTCTTAATAATGTATTAAAGAAATCTGACTCTCCTCTAGAAGTTTAAAGTTTCTGCTTTTTAAAGATTTTTGAAAGTATAATTTTCCTTTGAACTAATTCTAATAGTTTTGTTCTTGATTCTGTAGATGTTCTATTTACCTGCTATGATTGAAAGTAACTATCACCTATTTTATACAACTGATTTTATGGATTATATTCTGCTGTGGATGTTTTTAATTATTGTAATCACTTCTAAACTGATGAATTAGCAGCAATAAAAACCTCATGGATTGTAAAAATGTTTCTTTATCTGGTTTCATATAAATTAGAAAGAATCTTTTTCCATGTTTTCTCTGATATTTTCAGCCGAACTAAAGCTGTAAAATAAATAGTTTAATGGCATTCACCTTCTGTCTTCTCCAGTCTTTCCTGTTGCTCCTCCATCAGCATTAATCTGTTTGCTTTTTAGAGCCTGAGTTCAAATCTGGCCATTGGATAAATCCTCCTTTGCTTGTTGGAGAACTTAGATCAGGAAATAATGTAGGTACGTATTCTGGCCCAGTTGGTTCGGCTCCTGATAAAACAAGTGTTTCAGTTGCTATAACTGTGTGAGTCCAGAGCCGCTACAACCAAGCAACTAGAGGAATGAAGGATCTAACTATGGCTATGTTCACAATGCAGCCTGAAGGGACCCAAGTATGATTTTTAATTCATTTGTTGTTGTGTTGCCCATATGCGATCTGTATCTGATCTTTTCATGACAGTCTGAACAAGAAAGATCAGATTTTTTCTTTTCAAATGCAACCCAGGCCACTTGGCTATGTCCTGAATCCGATAGTATCTGATCTTTTTAAATGCGACCTGTGTCTAAACGGCCAGGTTACATTCATCCAACCGAGATAGATAGAAGGAACAGGGATAGGACAAAAGAGAAGAGGTTAGGAAGGAAAGGAAGATGATAGAAGAAAAGAGAAGGTGGGAAAAGCAGAAAGGTGGAAACTGAATAGAGGTTAGGTGGAATGAAGGGAAGGGGAGAGAAGAGGAGACTGAATGAAATTGTTTTATTTAAAATATATATATATATATATATATATATATATATATATATATATATATAGATATATTTATTAGGGAGATTCACTGAGCCTCGTGTGTTTTTTGGCTACATTTGGAGATAAAGGTTTGGCTCTTTATCTAAATACAAATAATCAAGTACATTGCATGTTTGACCACGTCTGCCATAAAACCTATTTACATAAAATGATTAGATTTAAAAATAATTCAATTTTTAATTATAATTTGAATTAATGTGTTCTTCTGAAATCAATTTATGATTATAATTTTAAAAAATGAATTATTCAGTTTTAAGTTATTAATAAATAGCACAGTCTGTGTGGTTCAAAGTACTTTAATACTGAAATTAATAAAAAACCAAATTGAATCAGCAGAGATATCTGGAAGAGGGTCCAATGGGTCTCATCAGAAAGAACCAGAACGACATGCAGACTGCAGTGAGTGGGCGGAGCCAAGATACCTGGACAGGTGAGGAACAGTTTGGACAACATCCTGAGGTATTTATTTGCCCTTCTAATATTTAGTTTGGATTTCATGCGATGGATCATCATAACATAAACTCTTTATGGAGAAATATGCCCAGTGCAACCGGCTGCTTTCAGAGATAACCTAATGTCTAGATACCTGTTGCCTGAAGGCCTTTTAGGTTTGTTGGAGAACATTCTAGAAATAACCCGACAGGAAAACCAAGGAACAGAGCAGACATTGATGCATGTTGGTGGTAAACTTCAACATAGCAGTATCTGACCTCTAACATCAGGCAAGTGCAGCGTCTTGCCCAATGACACAGAGACGTACGGAGCTGCAGCTTGAACAGACAAATCCCTCCTCCTGAGCCAGCTTATGCTACCGTAGGGATGACTGAAATTGCTGCTGCAAACCCACAAAGAATTCACAGTGCCTCTTAGCTTCACTCTGGAGGAGCTGCAGAGATCTACAGCTCAAGTGGAATAATCTGTCAACAGGATAGAAATCAGTCATCCAGAAATAAGCCTCTATTAAAGTCTGAAATTTGACATTAAAACCCCATATTATTGGGAACTGCGTTTAATTATAATTGGGAACATTTATATTTAAATCTTTACCTTCATTTCAGTCTTTAAAATATGTGGATATTTATTTGTACAATCATTGCATCGTGACGGCACAGAGATGCTATGGATGGTGAGCTAGAATGTCCTGCTGCAGGGTCAGATTATGTTTCTGAATGCTTTTAGTTTTACCCTAAATATGTAAAACAAAACTGAATTTTTAATGCAATTAATCTAAACCTTAGAAAAGAAGTGCTTTTTCTAGCTTTTAATTTCCCCACACATTCCAAATTAGTCAATCCTTATTCTTCAAAACAACTCAAAATAGGTCTACTTATAGAGAAATTTGTTAAATTGTAAAAGGTTTTCCTGGTCCTGCAATAAAGGGGGGAATATTAATTACAGGCAATTTTGATATTGGTTTATGAAGATTTTTAAAAGCCATTTAACATTTCCTACCACTTTGCAAACCTGCAGTGCAATTGGATCCTTCACAAATCATCTAATTTAAATACAAGAAAGTATGGGGTTTTAGCGTAACAAGATGTAAAAAATGGAACATGTAAAATCACACATCAGTTAAAAACGATCAATTTAAATAATTATAATCAATAATAAGCATAATCAATATAATTTTTCGTAAATTTTCCTTGTTCAGACATTTACAAAAAGAAGTGCTTCAGCACAATAAAGGACAGGGAGTCAGGAGATACTTTTATTAAAATGAAATACAATTTTTAGAGAACTTTGCAGATAAAAATCCCATTTTAATGACCACCTTATCTTCCCTTGAAAAAGCCTTAAATAAGCAGCTATAGAGTGAAAGTATACTGAGAAATGATACAGAAACTCATCAAAACGCCTGAAAATGTCAGTTTAATTCACCTGCTCCATAACAACTGATGGTTTTCTTAAAGCTTGGCTAGAATCATCATCTTTGACTTTGCCTTCAACTCTAAAGCACAGAGGTAGGTACTGACTAAACTCTGCTTCTGTAACTAAAGCATCAAATATGAAAACATAATCTAAGGTGGCTTTCCTTTAACAAAGAAGAACTTTAATAAAATGAACAATTCAGTGTGAAATCAGTGGAACGTCTTTGGCTTCAAAAGGGCAAATAAATATGAACTAAAATAACTAGAGCTGGTAAAAAAAACAACTAAATGCTAAAATTAATTTACAGCATCGAGCTAAACTGACTAAATAAATAACTTCTCCAAGTCGATGCAGACTACAGTTGCTTCATGTAAAACACTGTACCAAATCTTTACGTCTGATAGTCCCTCTATGTTCAATGAGCTCATTCTGCTCCTCCAGAACAGATCTGATCACCCATTCAATGTGCAACAAGTTAACACTAATTATTAGTGTTTATGTTCAAATTAAAATCCTGTTTGTGAAAAATAAAGAGGATAAAAGTTACAAAAATAAATAAATCCACATCATGGATTCTATGAGATGATGAATATTTGGTCCAGCAGGTTAGGTCAGAGAGGATCAGCATAAAGGAGTCTCTTCTAAGAGTCCGCAGAGATCCTGGATCAGCAGCTCAGCTTCTCCTGGTCAAAGGAACCTTTTCTTCCAGGTTGGTTTCAGCATCTGCTGCTCAAACTGAAGTTAACCGAACAAAGCAGATCAAGAACCTACTCTTTGACAAATGTACTGAATATTCACCTTCCAGCTGAGAACCAGAAGGCTGAAGACCTGCGTCTCACCAGAGGGGTTTCAGTTTGAGCTTTGGCTTCTGGGACGGCCACCTTCCAATCTTCTTTGTCGCTTCCTTCCTGTCTGCTGCTCTGTCCAAATGTCATCCTTAATTACTGACCCCTTACATTCTTTATCTTTTTCAGTCCAGTGATGTCCATTGTCAATGTTTATACCTTTATTTTATGATCTAATTTACTATTGAATAGCTTTTCTTGTATTTTTTTACGGTAATTGCTTTTTTGCACAATTTTTTAACTAATATTTTTATTGTTGCCGAATATAAGAGATTCTACAGATGTATTTTTTATACACATATTTATTGTTTCGATTTATTGTTTAGACGGCTATTTGGATTTCATTTTGACTACAGGTACCTCTAATCAGCTTTAAAAGCAAAAGGAGAACATTTTAATATATATATCTAATATATATATATATATATATATATATATATATATATATATATATATATATATATATATATATATGTATATATATATATGTATATATATATATATATATATATATATATATATATATATATATATATATATATATATATACATATATATATATATATGAAGGAGGAGCTAGAAAAGATGTGGAAAGTAAGAGCAGCAGTGGTGCCAGTGGTAATTGGAGCACTGGGGGCTGTGACCCCCAAACTTTTATATCTATATATATATATACCGGTATATATATATATATATATATAAAACTGTTTTCTCACCCCTCATGGGGTGGTATGTGTCATCCTCAAGCTCGGGTCCTCTACCAGAGGCCTGGGAGTTTGAGGGTTCTGCGCAGTATCTTAGCTGTTCCTAGGACTGCGCTCTTCTGGACAGAGACCTATGATGATTTACCTGGAATCTGCTGTAGCCACTCTCCCAATTTGGGGGTCACAGCCCCCAGTGCTCCAATTACCACTGGCACCACTGCTGCTCTTACTTTCCACATCTTTTTAAGATATATATATACATATAAAAGAGTTGAAAATGTGAGACAAACCTTTTCACAGACTGCAGCTTAACCTTGTCTTTGTCCTTTAGGATGTCCAGCATGCTGGGGATTTCTGCAGGCCTTGAATCCTCAACCATCTGATCTTTCTTCTTCCCTCTCCTCTCTTTTATCAGCTCTATGGAGGAAAATGTTGGCTGTAGTACTGGCCCAGGGGGAGGAGGTGGTGGGGGAGGGGGAGGAGGAGGGAAGTTTGTGTTAGCAGCTACAGTGATATAAAATTTACCTACAACTTTGAGTAAAATAAAGCTCTTTCTTCTGAAAAAAGTGGACTTTACTTCATTTGTTTAAATATACATAACTGACAACTGGGATGAAATTAAGTGAATGTTACTTAATATCTTCACAACTGATATGTTTTATTTAAATCAAAACACACTTAACGGTAAAGTAAGGTTTATTTGATGTTGCAGCGTTGCATTTTACTCAAACAATTTGCATGCAAATACTTGCAATATATATATTTTTAAATAAAGTTATTTTTTAGTACATTATGAACCTCTCCAGCTTTGGTTGTAATTACATTCTGAGACCACCAGAGGGCAGTATAAAGCTGTTAGCTGCCTCAACTACTGATTAATGAAGCCTTTTTTTTATTGCTCTCTGCTGTTGTTTTTCAACTTTTCTCAGTCCTTTAAAATGAAACCTAAAGGAGAGTATCTAACAGCCACCATAAGAGGTCTCCATGACAACTGCTCTGGTAATGCTAAGATATCTCAAATAATCAATACATCCAATCACAGTAAGAACCGAGGAGCCGATTTCAACATCTCTTTAGTATAATGAGGTGCAGTCTTTAAATGTGCTTCTATAAATGGACATCATTTAACACTAAAGTGTCTCAAAAATGTTGTGTTGACTGGATTCAGGATTCCTTTAAAGGTACTATAATAATTATTGCAAGAAGTATAAAGTCACACTGGAAAAAGACTGTATCAAAGAATATCTGTTAAACAAAAAAGCAGTTTTCACAGGATGATTTTATTCATTACATTAATAAAGCTATACACAACAATCACATCTGGGCCTGATTACCTGCTCATCTGCAGAATCAAGAAGAAAATCTATACAACCCATCTGACAACATGGAAGTTGGATAAAAATCTTCAACAGCAACACATCAGGCCTGGATCTCAAGAAGAGATGAGAAACGAGGTCACTGATATCTAGATTTCTGGAAAAGATTACAAAGGCCAAAGGAGCCAGGAAGGTGAACAGAACTACACCAACATTTATTTTGATCTAAAACCTCCATGTAGCTTCATGTTTAACTCTAATGACTCTAGTTTTATTGAATCGGCTGCTTCTACAGGGTCCAACTGGATCCTGCAGACTGTAAACATGAAAACAACCCAGAAATGTTTAGACCCCTAAAATAGAAAGAGTTCTGGGTGTTTATACCATCAGAGACCAGAGAGTTTAGAACTTTCTTTGATGGTCCGATTAGCATCAGGAAGCTGCTGGTTAATGATTGAAAAAGTTGAAGTCATATAAAGTTATAGCAGCTGATCTTTGCCCTGTGAGCTGGAACATTAAGTCTGTTTTCAGAGTAACAGAAGCTTTCAGACTCAGAGGAACAACAGTGGAGAAAAAGTCCAGGAGTTTCTCTTCTACAGACCTGGTCCAGACAGAAGAGTTACGGAGTGAAGAAATGAGAGGAAACTGAGTGAGTCCAGCTTTATTCCTTCAGATCTCAAAGCTGAGATTTAGTCTCCAGATGAAGAAAAGAGTTTGATCCAATGAGACTTTTGAGCAGCAGGCTGTGAGTGTTACTTAGCTGCAGGTTGTTCCGCATAAAATAAATCCCAGTCTCTCCCATCTGCTGCTGCTTTCTGCTCCAAAGAACAACTCTGACTGTAATGTTCTGTTTATCTCCAGGAAACTCTCAGACAGGAGTTCTGACATCAAGTCCTGGTTCTGGACCAGACTCTGATACTGGACTCCAGTTTATCTTTAACTAGTTTTATGGCAGATCAGAGTTCATGTGTGATTGTAGCCTGTTGATAAACATGGAATAATGTTGACTCACCAGTCAGAGACTGCAGAGGGATTTCTACGGAGAATATTTTAACAGAGAGCAGTGAGCGCCACCTACTGGTTCCTGTCAGTGTTGTTGATCAGAGTTGACGTTCAGCTGAATGATGAGTTTTTCCTCCTCAGATGAAGGTAGAAGGTGTGTGAGCTGATGTGAAGTGAGCAGCATGGATCAGTGTGAGGACAGAGAGGACAGAGTCCCTCCCTCTAAAACCACTCTGTGTGGAGAACATGAGGACCAGAGCAAAGTTCAGAGGTCAGATCACCATCTCTAACTGTCCAGGACTCTTCTCCATGTCAGAGCTCAGCATGAACATCACCAAACCATCTTTATTCACAGGAAACAAACAGAACCAGAACCTGGACCAGAACCCAGCTGTGTGTCCTTAAAGAGCAACATGTCAAAGGATGCATTTTGGGATTTCAAATCAGACCAACCTTCCTCAGCGAACAGGTGAGCTATTTCAAAATGTTCCACTAATTGGTTTAAACTAACTTCATTCCAACATATTAATGTGAACACAACTCTTTCTCACTCATGTCTGTGTTCACATGTGAAGCAGTGAGTGATGGAGGCTAAATAATGGAAATAATCAAAGGATTGTTTTATTGTGATGATATGAAATGATCTTGTTAGATGATATTGGAGCTAAAATCAGTTGTTCTCCATCCAGTTGAATCTTTCTGGATCACCTTGTGTCACATTAGTGAACCAGAGTTGGTGCTTCTGCAGAGCTTAAGGTGATGCACATGTAGGCAAGTCATAATGCTGATTCAACTATTAGATAGAAACTAAATCATCCAAACTAAATCTGATGGAAAACATGATCTCTCACTGTTATCTGCAAACATCAGTGAAAACAGCAGCTTCTAAAGTTCATCTGCGTTCATTCAAAATGATCATCAGTCTGATTATTAGCAAACTGCTCCACAGTCTCCTTCAGCAGCCACTACATGTCATCAGAAATACAAGATCATTGACCTGCTGCTCGAGGAAGTTTAATGATAAGAACAAGATGAAGCTTTGATAGGATATTAAGTGTGGATTACTGCATTAATGAAAGGTCCTTAAATGCACCACCAGGCCTATATTACCATAAAAAGCTGAATAGAAGCTCAGAAATGATCAGCTGAGAATAAAGCCGCTGCTCTAAAGGGGTTTGATCATCAGTTTAAGACTAGAACAAGCAAAACAAACAACTAGAAGATAAATGAACTTGTTTCTTCATCAGCAGTTCTGACTCTGATCCAAAGGAAGAAAGTTTGTCATGATAGAAGATCAGAACAAATCAAACACTGTTCTACATCCAGACTTTCTGATTATTGTTCAGTTCCTGCTAACAAACCCAAACATCATCCCTTATTAATTATTATCAGAGCTAATTATTAATCCATCATTAATATACAGTTTACGGGCTTCCGGTTTGAACGTCACCGTGATGGCCACGCTGTGAACGGGCTCCCGAGAGAACCTAAGAAATTGAAAACCCAACCCCACTCAAACGACGAAAACATATCTATAAAGGTGAAAAAAACTGGGGTGAGTGAAATACTTCAAAACCGATGCTTTGTGGTGACAAAAGCGGGCATTTAAAGTTGAGAAAATATTGCTAGCATTTCAGCTAATGCTAATCGCTATTCATTTCGAACCTCTGCCTTGAAGAAATACCGCTGCATTCTCTGACTTGAGCTAAGCAACCAACAGAGACACTATGGCTAAATGGGAGACCGTATTGCAGGAATTAAAAGGCTTCCGACAAGAAAATAATGCACATTTGGGGGAAATCAAAGATGAAATTCGTAAGGTGAACGCCAGACTGGATGAGGCTGAGGATCTGATTGAAAAAGCGGAGGAGAGGATTTTAACCACGGAGGACGCTGTCACTGAAATAATGAAGCTACAGTTAAAGCTGGAAGATAAGCTAATGGACTTAGAAAGCCGTACACAAAGAGAGAACATACGCATTTATGGTGTACCCGACGCGGCAGAGCGGGACTCGGCATCGATGGGTGACTTTGTAGAGAGGTTGCTCCGTGAGGGCTTGGCGCTATCACCAGAAGAGCTCGACATACACATCGAACGGGCTCACTGATCTCTAGGCCCTCCGCCCCCAACCGACGCTCCCCCGCGATCTATTATTGTGAAGTTCCTCAGTTTTAAAACCAAAGAACTTCTCCTTCGCAAGGCATGGCAGAAAAGAGGATTTACTTGGAACGGCAGCCAAGTGAATTTGGACCATGATTACCCTCCTCTGATTCTGAAAAAACGAAGAGAATACGCAGACGTGCGCAAGATCCTGAAGGAGCAACAAATCCCTTTTCAGACCCTCTTTCCTGCCCGGCTGAGGGTGAAATATGGCGATGAAACAAAGATCTACAACACAGTGGTGGAAGCTACCGAAGACATGTCCAATAGAGGCTACGCTGTGCGGGTCGTTAAGTCACCAGAAATGGTCCTGGAACAACTGAAGCAGCTGACTTGGAGCAGAGTACGCGGCGGACCGAGGAGTGGGCCAGCAAACAAGAGACAGGACCCCGCAGCCGGCTACAAAGAAAAACTCAGAGCCTTCAAGAGGACATCTCCCACACGCAAGGAAAATTAAGGTTTATCCACTCTGTTATTAAGAACTAGAACTTGCATTTGGTTTATGATGTACAATAAGTAAATAAGACAGGTTTCTCGTGGTGCTCCCTACGCTGAGGCCATAGCCACTAAGGGCCCCTTTATTATTTGATGAGGAAGCTGCCTTTGGAGGTGAAGCAGGGTTCTCATCTGAGACCCCCCCCCCCTTGTAAGCCAAGAGTTCAGTTTGAGTTCTGTTTGTTCTTAATGTTGACTTTTCTATATGTTCTATGTTCATTGTTTTTAAGAGTGAGTGGGGAGCCCAATAACCTTGTTGATATAATTAAGAAATATAAGTTAGATGAGTAGCAGGTTGATAAAATTGGTGTCAAACAACATTAATGGTTTGCATAGCCCAGTAAAAAGGTGGAAAGTCTTATCTAAATTTAAAAGAGACAGAGCCCAAATTGTTCTATTGCAGGAAACACATCTACCTGATAGTGAACATGATAAGTTGAACAGGATGGGTTTTAAACATGTATTTTATTCGTCCCACAGTTCTGGGAGGCAAAGGGGAGTGGCAATTTTGTTATCTGGAACTCTTAACTATGAACACATCAGAATTCAAAGACAAAGAAGGTCGTTACATAATGATTACGGGCAGGATTGATGGTACCACGACACCATTCTGAATATATACATCCCACCGGGCAGTGATTGGTCCCTGTATAGACGGGTACTCGAAATTGCAACAACTAAGAGTCAGGGAACTTTAATATGCAGTGGTGATTTCAATATCTTATTAAACTCCAAATTTGATTCTTCTAGTGGGAAAGGTGATGGACGAAATATTGGTAAGAGGATGGGACACCTTATGGACGAGGTAGGACTAGTTGATGTATGGAGAGAACATCATCCTACTAATAGAGAATACACCCACTTCTCACACCCGCATAACGTATACTCTAGGTTAGACTACATTCTTGCATTCAAAAATTATTTGTTTAAAATTAAAACCTGTGAAATTGGCCCATGTACAATTTCTGACCATAATCCAGTTTATGCTGATATCTGTCTGAACAGGAAAAAAAGATCTACGTTATGGAGGATGAACACAAATATTTTAAACTCCCCAAACATTAAAGAGAATTTAAAAAAAGAAATAGAGAATTATTTAGTTCAAAATGATAATGAGGAGGTGTCTCCGGGAATCTTGTGGGATGCAATGAAGGCAGTGATTAGAGGGAAAATAATTAGTATATCTTCCCACCTTAAAAAAGAAATCATGCAAAAACGTAAATACCTGGAAGATAAATTGCTAGAACTTCAACATCAACACTCCGTGACTATGAATGACTGCATCTGATTTGGTAAAATTTAAAAAAGAATTAGATGACCTAAACATGATTGAAGTACAGAAAAAAATCATTTTTAACAAGCAGAAGTACGGTGATGTAGGGGGGAAATCACTAAAACTTCTTTCATATAAACTCAGAAAGCAGCAAGCAGAGAGGACTATACACAGAATAAGAATTCTTTAAATGGTCAAATAGAAACCGATGAGGAGAAAATTAAACAATGTTTTGAGAATTATTATAGAAAACTTTACTCCCAAACCCAAGTAGATAATAATCAAGAGGTCTTCACTTTCCTGTCTAAACTAGAACTACCAACAGTGACGGAGGAACACAATAATGTGTTGGTATCCAAAATAACCAGAGAAGAAATTCACTCGGCAATTAAAAGACTAAAAGGGGGGAAAATGGCAGGGGCAGATGGATTTGGCCCAGAATGGTATAAAATAATGCAGGATCATTTGACTCCAACCTTGCAGAAAACATTTAATTGGGTGATGGAGGGAAAAACCATACCCCCCTCATGGAAAGAAGCAATAATCTCTATAATTAAGAAAGAAGGAAAAGATAACCTAGATTGTAGCAACTATCGACCAATCAGTGTATTAAATATTGATTATAGGTTGTTCACTTCCATCATCTCTAAGAGACTTGAAACTATCCTACCCGGACTAATACACAATGATCAAACAGGCTTTATTAAACATCAACAAACTCAAGATAACATTAGTAAAGTTTTACATATAATGAACCAGGTTCATAGACAAAAAATAGAGACTTTACTGTTAAGTTTAGATGCCGAAAAGGCTTTTGATTCTGTGAGGTGGTCCTTTCTAGATCAGGTTCTCGAGAGATTTGGATTTGATAAATCTATAATAAATACTATATCGGGGTTGTATAGTAAACCAACAGCCAGAATCAAAATTAATGGAGACCTTACTGAATCATTCACACTCGAGCGAGGGTCTCGACAAGGTTGCTGTTTGTCGCCACTCCTCTTCGCCTTGTTTATATAACCACTGAGCCAGTGGATCAGACAGAGACAGGATATAATTGGAATAAGGACCAAAGGAGGGGAGCAAAAGTTGGCATTATTTGCTGATGACTTGTTGCTCGTTATATCTCATCCTGCGCAGGTTCTCCCCAAAATAATGAAAATCTTACTTGATTTCGGCATATACTCGGGGTACAGGGTTAATGTGAACAAAACACAGGTACTAACGGTAAATTATGACCCACCAGCTGAAATTAAAAATTGCTATAAATGGAAATGGGAGGCCGATAGCGTTAGGTATCTGGGGGTGGTGATCCATCGTGACCCTACTAAAATGTTTGAATCTAACTATGCCCCCTTGAACATAGCCATAAAGTCGGATATCCAAAGATGGAATGACATGCCATTTTTAAACCTACACTCCAGGATTGAGTGAGTAAAATTAAACATTCTTCCCCGATTTTTGTATTTATTTCAATCCCTGCCAGTTCCCGTACCGTCAAAACAATTTGAAGAATGGGATAAGATGCTGTCTAAATACATTTGGAAAGGGAAAAAAAGCAAGAGTTAAATACAAAAGTTTACAATTAAAAAAGGAAAAAGGGGGCTATGGGCTTCCATGTTTACGAGAATACTTTTGTGCAGCTCAGTTGAAACCTTTGATATGTTTATGCTGTCCGGATTACACTGCGGGATGGAAGAATGTGGAAGGGGAAACAGTCAAAACACTACCGATTAGAGCCATAATAGCTGACACAAAATTACAGAACAAAATTAATTTGGCAGACGAACCTATAACACAAGTAATGATATCTGCATGGAACGAAGCAATTAGAATCTGTGGCTCAGAAAATGCCTCTAAACTTTTAAGATGGTGCGCTTATGATTCGGATTTCATCCCAAATCAACATGATGACAGATTCAAGAAGTGGATTTCAAAGGGCCTAACTAATTACTATTCTTTTGTCCACAAGGGGGCGTCCAATGCTTTGAGACCTTGAAAAGAAAACATGATTTATGTGCAAATGACTTTTTTAGATTTTTACAGGTTAGAAATTATTTTAATAAAGATCTAAAAGTACATTTACATAATCTTAGTTTTGTGGAAACGTTTATATTACTAACCAAATCAAAATCAGGTAAAATTATCTCCAGGTTATACGACGCCATCCTGCGGTGTAAAAAGGACAGCACTGATTATGTTAAAGTGAAATGGGAAAAAGAAGCCAGCCTGTCGATTTCAGAAGAAGATTGGGACCACATCTGTAAGATACCATGGACAATAACAAGATCGAAGGTTTGGCGTGAATTCTGCTGGAAGAATATTATAAGATTTTTCATAACCCCAAAGCAGAAACGATATCAGGGGAGGGGTGATACCTGCTGGAGGTGTGGAAGGGATGGTGCCAATCATTTCCATGTTTTCTGGGACTGCCGAGCCATCCAGCAATATTGGTCTAAAATCCATGAACATTTATAGAACGTATTCTCAGCTAAATTTCCTTTAACTTTTGAATGCATATTTTTATGTAACATCCCGGTAGACAAACTGAACCACAATGATCAGAAACTTCTGTTCATTTTACTGGCCGGGAGCAAAAAGGCCCTCACAAAAAAATGGCTTAAACGGGAACCTCCAACAATTGATGACTGGATAAGTGTAGAGAAAGAGATGTATGCACTGGAGAGACTGTCTTTTTCCATCAATGTGCAGAGAGACACTTTCTACAAGATATGGTCTAAGTGGACAGAATATGTCAAACCTGTTATACCTGAGTTTTCTTTATAAACCCTGCTGTCATTCAGATTTATGGTCTAACTTGATTTGTGCTTATTAGTTGATATTCAGGCTGCCCCGCAACTCCCAGTTAAGTTTTTTTTTTTTTTTTTGTGTGTGTGTTCGGTTTTCTTTTTTCTCGTGTTAAAATTAGAAAACAGAGAAAGCATGTAAAAATATGAACATAACCAGTATATGTATATAATTGTAGTGTAATGTGCTTTCTCAATAAAAATGTTAAGATAAAAAAAATAAAAAAATAAAAAAATAAATATATACAGTTTACAGTGAAACCAGGAATATTTGCATCCACTTCAAACTAGAGCCACTGTGGGACACTTTAGAGTTCTGGGCTTCACTGTTTAACTTGAAATACATTATTAGACTAAGATTGAATTCAGGGTTTTTCTTTCAGGATCCAACTGAACCTCAAACCAGAACCAGAACCTAGCTGTGTTTCCTTAAAGAGCAACAGGTCAAAGGGTCGCATTATCAATTTTAAATCAGACCGACCTTCGGCTGCAAAGAGGTGAGCTCTGTCTAAATGTTTTAACCATATGAAACTGATCTGACTCAGTTTGAAATGTTTTGATTCCATATTTTTTATTCCTTTTAATGAAACAGTTTTTTACTGGATGTTTTTTCAATTATTCAGTCTCCATTGAGTTCAGGGTAAACATTGTTGGAGGTTTTTCTAAAGGTCTGTAGTTCACCTGTTGGTCCAGCAGGGGTCAGGCTGATTTCAGCTGAAGCCAGAATTTAGGTTAAACATTTTACAAAAACAATCAATGACAGAAAAAGTTGTACTCAGTTCAGACGCTAGATTATTTTTTTCTGTTTCTGAATTTGTTTAATCAGATTACTTTGAACTCAAATAAATAAAGGAGGCAAACCAAGATAAATTACCAGTTTAATCCTTTGATCTGATCATTTTTAACTCTCGGGTTCAAGTGTGACACTCTAAATAAAGAGGAAAACTTACATGTTTAAGGCAAGCTTTTGTTGGTGGTAAAGAGCAAAACAAACCAACTCACTGGAGGAAATAACTAAATTTTACTTTCTTATGACCCGTTTTTATTTACTTTATTCCATAAAATCAATATAGAAATGAAAGATGTTTTTCATTTGAATCACAGAAATGCCTTGTTAAAGCCACCTTACATTCTGATCACTGCTGCGCTTTATAAATGTTCCCTAATGTTCTCTGCTCTGTTTCACTGTTGAAAAGCTGTATGTTTCAAAATTTTGTTATATATACACTGAGTATACGAGATGAAAATAAAGTTTTTCTAAGTCTTCTTATTGAACACTTGCATTATTTCTTTCCATGGATCCTCATTTTAGGTCTCAGATGCAGATCTTGGACCATTTTTATCATGAAGCAAACTGATTTATCTAAGGATGTAAAAATCTCCAACCATCCATTGGACTTTGGATTAACTTGCCTAATTTATTTTTCTAACATAGGCTGCCGCTATCGTATTATATGGATTCTATGGAATTAAACTTATTATTCTGAATTAATTTAACTTATTTTTAACATCAGTCTGAGCATTAGAAATCCAAACTCTGATCAGGTAGGAGCTTCCACTCTGGTGACCGGTGTCCCCATTTATAATAGATTAATAATAATAGATTTTATTTGTAACGCACCTTACATTTCAAAGAAATCTCAAAGTGCTACAGAGACCAAAAGAAGAAAAAAAAAACAAAGACAAAAATAATAACAAAAGTAATAAAAAAAAAAAAAAAAAAAAAAAAAAAAAAAAAAAAACTGATTTATAGCTTTTGGATCGGGGCACCACAAGGTCCTTTGCCTTTTTCTGCTTGTTGTTCTTTAGAATGTGAGTTAATGCTTCCTGGTTCCTCTACAGAGTGGACCAGCAGAACTCACAGGTTCCCAGTGATCCATCTACCCCGCAGCATCAAACCCAGCTGGACTCCATATTTATGGTCTGTACATGAACTACAACTACTTCTCCATGGGACTGTCAGTCTGTTCAACATAAAGCTGATGTTTGGCTTCATGATCTCAGTCTGATGTGTCCTTCATGTATTCTTCTGTTCAGCTGCTGGAGGAAAACATTGTTAGTTTTGTGAAGAAGGAACTGAAGAAGATCCAGAAGGTTCTGAGTCCAGATGAACCAGAAGGCTTAGAGAGTCAGTGGAAGGATGAGGAGCATATGAGGAGCAGCAGAAGGGCTTTGGTCCAGATCACACTGAATTTCCTAAGCAGGATGAAACAGGAGGAGCTGGTTGAACGTCTGCAGAGCAGTAAGAAGATTTATACAGAGATTTAATGATGGAGAAATTATAACTTTATTTCAGTCAGAAGTGCAGAAAGAAAGAATAATCTATTAAAAGGAATTGTTATGATACTAATGATATTCTTTAACCTTTCAGAGCTTTTGGCTTTAGTTTCTCAACGTAAACTTAAATCCAGTCTAAAGAAGAGGTTCCAGTCTGTGTTTGAGGGGATCGCTAAAGCAGGAAGTCCAACCCTTCTGAACCAGATCTACACAGAGCTCTACATCACAGAGGGAGGGACTGGGGGGGTCAATGATGAACATGAGGTCAGACAGATTGAAACAGCATCCAGGAAACCAACCAGACCAGAAACAACAATCAGACAAGAAGACATCTTTAAAGTCCCACCTGGAAGAGATCAACCAATCAGAACAGTGATGACAAAGGGAGTGGCTGGCATTGGGAAAACAGTCTTAACACAGAAGTTCACTCTGGACTGGGCTGAAGGCAAAGCCCACCAGAACATCCAGTTCATATTTCCATTCACCTTCAGAGAGCTGAATGTGCTGAAAGACAAAAAGTTCAGCTTGGTGGAACTTGTTCATCACTTCTTCACTGAAACCAAAGGAATCTGCAGCTTTGATCGGGTGCAGGTTCTGTTCATCTTTGATGGTCTGGATGAGAGTCGACTTCCTCTGGACTTCCACAACAAGGAGATCCTGACTGATGTTACAGAGTCCACCTCAGTGGATGTTCTGCTGACAAACCTCATCAGGGGGAAACTGCTTCCCTCTGCTCTCCTCTGGATAACCACACGGCCTGCAGCAGCCAATCAGATTCCTCCTGAGTGTGTTGGCATGGTGACAGAGGTCAGAGGGTTCAATGACCCACAGAAGGAGGAGTACTTCAGGAAGAGGTTCAGAGATGAGGAGCAGGCCAGCAGGATCATCTCCCACATCAATAGATCTAGAAGCATCCAGATAATGTGCCACGTTCCAGTCTTCTGCTGGATCACTGCTACGGTTCTGGAGGATGTGTTGGAGACCAGAGAGGGAGGAGAGCTGCCCAACACCCTGACTGAGATGTACATCCACTTCCTGGTGGTTCAGACCAAAATGAAGAAGGTCAAGTATGATGGAGGAGCTGAGTCAGATCCACACTGGAGTCCAGAGAGCAGGAAGATGATTGAGTCTCTGGGAAAACTGGCTTTTGATCAGCTGCAGAAAGGAAACCTGATCTTCTATGAATCAGACCTGACAGAGTGTGGCATCGATATCAGAGCAGCCTCAGTTTACTCAGGAGTGTTCACACAGATCTTTAAAGAGGAGAGAGGACTGTACCAGAACCAGGACAAGGTGTTCTGCTTCGTCCATCTGAGTGTTCAGGAGTTTCTGGCTGCTCTTCACGTCCATCTGACCTTCGTCAAGAATGAAGTCAATCTGATGGAAGAACATAGAAATATTTCTGTTAAGGCTAAGTTATCTAAGACAGCAAAACCAAGAAGTCTCCATCAGAGTGCTGTGGACAAGGCCTTGCAGAGTACAAATGGACACCTCGACTTGTTCCTCCGCTTCCTCCTGGGTCTTTCACTGCAGACCAATCAGACTCTCCTACAAGGTGTGATGACCAAGGCACGAAGTAGCTCACTGACCAATCAGGAAACAGTTCAGTACATCAAAGGGAAGATCAATGAGAATCTGTCTGCAGAGAAAAGCATCAACCTGTTCCACTGTCTGAATGAACTGAATGATCGTTCTCTGGTCCAGGAGATCCAACAGTCTCTGAGATCAGGAAGTCTCTCCACAGATAAACTGTCTCCTGCTCAGTGGTCAGCTCTGGCCTTCATCTTAGTGACATCAGGAGAAGATCTGGATGTGTTTGACCTGAAGAAATACTCTGCTTCAGAGGAGGTTCTTCTCAGGCTGCTGCCAGTGGTCAAAGCTTCAAACAAAGCTCTGTAAGTACTGACAGAATTTGGGTTCTTACACCAAATGCTAAAACCGATAAAAGGTTACTATTAATTATCCCAATTCACCTGTTTGACTCTCGGTTCTATAGAAATATGTTTTAAATAAATACTAGTTGAGTTAATTTACATACAAACATTTATGTAAAATAAATCTTTGCACAAATTGATTTCTCTTATCAAACTGGAACATAATTACTTAATAATTTTTTTCTTCTATTGTTGTAAATCACGAATTAAGTTCATTATCGCTAGACCTAGAAACAGAAATTAAGTCACACATGTTTTTTTTGTTGTTTTTTTTTACGGTGTCCTGTCTGGCAATGAGGCAATAAGAATAATTGTCTTGATGCCAAAAAGAGCCCAACAGATTTTACTATCACAAGTGTGGCAGTATGGCAATTGCCATATTGCTACACTTGTTTCATGCATATAAATTGCTTTATTATAATTATACAGGGAGTTTTACAGTTTATATGGATATTGCAATGTAAATAGAACAGAAGAGGAAAAACAGAAGAAGAAAAAGGAAAAAAAAAAGAGAAAAAATGAAAGAAAGGTCGGCACCCCTGGAAGCCGCGGGGACGAGTCCGCAGGCTCCGCCAGCAGCCAGCTACAGTGGGCACTGGTTGGAAATGGACACTTCACTCACGCTCCCCGTGTTTCACGAATTGCGTGAAAAACATGTGACTACTATAGCCACTAGGTGGCAGTCTGAGTCCATTTCGGCGTCCCATGAGTCAGGATTAGATAGCTCAATTGGCAAACAGGGGGGGGTGTTACGGTTGCAAGCAGTTAGCATAGAGGGTAGAGTGAGTGGTCTGCTGCTCTGAAGGTTGAGGGTTCAGTCCCAGCTGTGGCCGAGTAATGTTTTTCTATTTGTTTTAATCACTTTTTTATTACATTAGACCATAGGGATTATCATTCTACATTTTTATCTGACTGTATATATAGGTCTATTATATTGCATGCCTTATAGCCACAGTGTTTAGATATTTTTATAATTCTATTTACCCTATTCCATATTATATGTGTCATGGTCTGGTGGTGTTTGTGAATGAGAAATGGTGCGGCTCGGCTCATGTTCACGTGAAGCAGCAGATATGCAGCCCAGATGTGGAATTACTCACAGTGAGTTTAAGACTTTATTATCTGCCGCGGGAGTTTGGTCACGTGATCGTGCTGTGCGTTTCCAAAGCGTGGTAAACAAGTTTCAGACTAGAGTCTGAGACGGGAGTGGATTTTCACTCCTGTCCCGTCCCACTCCCACAGAAAAAAAAATTGTGTCCCGTCCAGATCCCGGGCCAGAGTAGAAATCTAAATCCTGTCCCGTCCCACTCCTGGTGAAATTACTCCCACTCCCATCCGCTCCCATTCAGAATGACTCCCGGTCCTGCACCACTCCCATTCTTGTTTTTTTTTTTTTTTTGAGCTCAGGAGAAAAACTCAGAGCCGAAGCACTGTTGGTTTTTGGGTCGTGTAGTTTTTTTGACTCGCATTATAGTGTAGGCTTCAATGAAAAAAACTACAAAATGCCGGCTTTGCGCCAGTACTGGATTTTTTTTCTTTCTATTTTATTTTATTTTTTGGCATCGATCCTAGTTTTTTTTTGTTATTATTGGTTTGCTCCCACTCCTGTCTGCTCCCTTTAGTGTTTAATCCTGTACCATCCCAATCACGTGATCATTACTAATACTGACTCCCATCCCACAATACTTCAATGTCTTTTTTAAATTTTTTGACAATATGATCATTAGACGGGTAAAACTTATGAATTATTTTAAATGATATTGCTTTAATTTTGGTGGTCAGCAAATATTAGTTGGGTAAGAGCCAGACCTTCTTCCAGTCAATGTTTTGCACAAATGTATTCCAGTATGCAGGGCCGGATTTAGGAGGATGGGGGCCCCTGGGCTGGAGTCAGGATGAGGGCCCCTGTGCTAGAGTCGAAAAAAAGGCTTATATATATATATATATATATATATATATATATATATATATATATATATATATATATATATATATATATATGTATGTGTTTGTTTTGTTTTAGAGGATAAATGACATGCAAATACCAGGAGAAATTGCTCCAAAGACTTTGGCATAATCTATAGGGGACACAGGAATTTTGTATTCTTTTAGAAACTCTTTATAAGAGTAAAGAAGACACTCTTTGTTAAATAATTGGTCAACCAAAATAATGTTATTATTAAACCAATAATCAATAAATAAGGATTTATGTTTAAACAATATGTCTTTATTGTTCCAGATGAAATATTTGTTGGGTGAAAAGTGGTGTTTGAAAATAAGGGACCATGAAAGGAAGGCCTGGCGGTGAAAGGCTAACATTTTTATCGGGACTTTATCAATATCATAGTTACAGGTTAAGAAAAAGCTCAAGCCACCCAGTTTTGATAGCAAGTGACATGGTATGACGTTCCAAATAGAGTTAGGGTTTTTAAAGAAGTGTTTTAGCCAATTTATTTTAAAGGTATTATTTAGAGTACAGAAATCGATAAAGTTTAATCCACCCTTTTCAATGGGATTTGTTAGAACAGACTTCTTCACTCTGCTCCACTCTCACCACGCTCACACAATACGTCACATGCAACCAGGAACAATAAAAGGCTGGACCTTTTTTATGCAAATGTTAAGGATGCATACACCTCCGCACCCCTCCCCCCGCTGGGTCGTTCAAATCAAAACCTTGTCTACCTGCCCCCCCATTACATTCCACTGGTGAGAAGGACAATTGCACAGTCAGTGAAAGTTTGGTTGGATGACGCCACTGAGGAGCTGAGGGATTGTTTCAACACCACAGACTGGAGCATGTTCTACAGCCTGACTGAATGCATCACTGACTACATGACCTTCTGTGTGGAGAGCATTGTGCCTACACCAAGTTTGCAGATGAGTTAAACAGCTTCTTCACCCGGTTTGACTCCCCTCACAATGGTCCCCTCCCTGCACTCAACTCTCCACACACCTCCAACCACCAGCCCCCCAGAGACCTTTCCCCCCCACCGCCACCATTCCCACCGACCCCCGACCCATCCACACCTCCAGTCGTGCCTTCCTCCCCCCTCACAGTAACACCAATGCAGGTGAGAAGGCAGCTGAGGAGGCTGAAACAGAGGAAGGCCTCAGGACCAGACGGCCTCCCCCCCAGGCTGCTGAGGACCTGTGCAGATGAGCTCTGTCAGATCCTCAGCAACATGTACAACCTGAGCCTCAGCCTGGGGGTGGTCCCCATCCTGTGGAAGACCTCCTGTGTGGTTCCGGTTCCCATATCAGCCGGATTGGAGCAGTGATTCTAGAGCAGGGGTGGGCAAACTTTTTGACTTGCGGGCCAGAATGGGTTCTAAAATTTGACAGAAGGGCCGGGCCAGGAGCATTTGGACAAGCAGGGGCGTGCACAGATAGACACTAGGTGGTGCTAAAGCACTAGGAAGTTTGCCCTCTATCAAAGAAAATGCCCTTTTGAAACTCGTTTTTTTATTATTATTATTATTAATATTATTAAGATTTTACTGAGGTCGGTTTTGAAATGATCTTTTGAAAACCTGAGCCATTAAAAACGACTGAAACAATGCCCCGAAATGACCGACCTACTTGCGCACACCCGACCAGCCTCTCTCTCTTCCTTTGTCACGTGAACTCGCTCGGTCGCCCGCAGGGCTTGCCAGATGCGCAGCATCATAGCAGTTTTCAGATAGCAGGAACGGTCGCTGACAGGCTGCTTCTCCCGTGCCCCATTAGCCAGGTAATATACAGATCAAGCAGAATCATTTTGTTGTGCGTTAAAATGTCTCATTCAGCAGCACCAAACACGCATTTTGCCGACTGGTCACCAGATAAACTAGTTGTCTCCTTGTAAGATGCTATTTTACTTTTTATATTTTGTATCCATATTTTTTATCTTAAGTGTATACATTAGTCTATTTTATTGCATGACGTATACCCACAGTTTTTAGATATTTTTATAATTTTATTTACCTATTCCATATTATATGTTTCATGTTGCACAATTGTACCATAAAAAATTCCTAGTTTGTGAACTCCTTCACAAACAATGGCAATAAACCTGATTCTGATTCTGAAAGTTTTACACTGTAGCCCAAGTCAATGACAGATAACGTGAGGACGACCACATAGGCTACAAATAATTTTGGTAGAGTTTGCAATTGCAAATACGGAAGAGGATTAGGGCCACTGAAAAAAAAAATAAGTTAACTGATTTTTAAATTTTATTTCAGTTTAGTATGGGAAAAAAAGTCAGAATGCTGACTTTAATCTCATAATTCTAACTTTTTTCTCATAATTCTGACTTTTTGCTGAGAATTCTGACTTTTTCCTCAGTATTCTGACTTTAATCTCAGAATTCTGACAATAAAAAAGTCAGAATTCTGACTTTTTGCTCAGTATTCTGACTTTAATCTCAGAATTCTGACAATAAAAAAGTCAGAATTCTGACTTTTTCCTCAGTATTCTGACTTTAATCTCAGAATTCTGACAATAAAAAAGTCAGAATTCTGACTTTTTGCTCAGTATTCTGACTTTAATCTCAGAATTCTGACAATAAAAAAGTCAGAATTCTGACTTTTTTCCCATGTTAAACTGAAATAAAATTTAAAAATCAGTTAACTTTTTTTTTTTTTTCAGTGGCCCTAATCCTCTTCTGTACAAGTCTATGTGTTAAGACAAACGTTTTCTGTTGTATAGGTTTTGTTAGGCAACATAAATTAACACATTTTGGTCTCTTTATTGTCTTAATTGTATATTGATTTAGTAATTGCAGCACAATGCCAAGAAAGGAGGGTTAATCATATTGAAAAATCTTAAAAGCTGTTCACATTTTATTTTTAAGCAGCAAAACTTAAATTTTTCCATCTTGAGCAGCAGCGCGTTGGCGGCGCGTCAGAATGCTCCCGACGCGCTGCGCCTGCTGCTCAAAACGCCCTGCGGGATCTTTTGCTGCGCCTATACCCGCG